AAGAGAGAGGAAAAGTGAGAAAGCAAGTTGCCAGGTCCGGGACTTGAACTGCAGTCAGCCATGTGGGATTCCAGAGCCTTAACAACCACACCATCTACTGGCCCTCATCATTAACATTTTTTTTTTTTGAGAGATGTTTGTTTTTCTTTTGCTATAGGGCGCATGCACTCGCTAGACAGACAGAGACAGAGAGACAGAAAGCAAGAAATCACCCCCCAGGGGGGATGGCCACACCACAATCCCTTCTCCTCCATTCTCCTCTCGGGATCCTGGGCATGCACGCACATGTGCCCAGTGTGAGTTTAAGCCACCGGGTCAGGGACTTGAACCACGGTCGACTATGTGGGAGTCCAGCGACATAGCCATTATACCAACTGCTGGTCCCATCATGGACATTTTTAAACACACACAGAAGTCAAGCAAGTACCGAGCCCTCAATAATTATCAACATTTTATTCATCTCTTATTGGCTGTCTGCCCATCCCAACCATTTTTTTTCTTTTGGCGAAAGTATTTTCAGCTAAATCCCAGATATATCGCCATGACTGATTTCTTTTTCTCATTCACCTCTAGGGTATATGTGTTTAACAAAAATGAAAAACATGGTTCTGATTCCTTGTTATCTCTGGCTGGGCCGACACTGGTCAGTCAATGTCTGAAACACTCCCACCATGGAAGCTGCTACAGTGCAGAAGTTAAAAACATTAGATCTGAGCCAATTCCCAGCTTTGTTATCCAGTGACTGTATGATCTTGGGCAAGATTATATTGCCTTGTTTTTGTTTTTGAGAGACAGATTTTTGCTATAGAGTGAGTGTGCTTGCCAGAGAGACAGAAAGCAAGAAGTCACCCCCTGGGGGGATGGCCATGCTGCAATCCCTTCTCCTCCAGTCTTTCAGGATCTTGGGCACAAATGCACACATGTCCGGCCTGAGTTTTAAATCACTGGGTCTAGGACTCAAACTGTGGTCGCCCACATGGGAGTCCCGCAATGTAACCATTACACCATCTGCTAGTATCCGTGTGGCTTTTCTGAGACACTGGCTCCCTCTTTTATTCCGTGGGTGAAATAACGCCTACTGCACAGGGTGGGGAAGACAATGTGCACGGACATTCAGCACACAGAGCCCTCCGGAAACATCAGGGGACGTTACTGAGTCTGGGCCGTGGTGAGTATTTCGGTTCTGGCACAGGTGCAGCCCATGCGACATTCAGAAACCGCTGACAGAGTGTGTAGCTGTCTAGGAACCAACGCATTACCGCAAGTACACATGTGCTCTGAAATGAAAGTCTCCCGCTAACTCCATCCTCTGAACATGTTTTCAGGGCGAGTAAGACAGAACGGGAAGTTCCACGGAAAGTGCCTCTGGCGAGCCCCTGTGCTCTCAGAAATAAGGGCAGGGGATCTGCACACCGAGGGACGTGCCTAGGAAGGCTGGAAGAACAGTGAGCACCACTCTGCACTCCAGAGCATGAAAGAACCAGGAAGTACCTTCATCCATGTCTTTGGAAAACCGGTTGAGAATCCTCCCTGTGGGGGTAGTGTCAAAAAACTTCATAGGGCTCCGCAGAATCCTTCGGAAAAGCTCGTCGTGGAGCCGAGAAGAGGCCCGCAGCGTGCCCTGGGGAGCAGAGTGCAGAGCCATCAGAGACCCGGGACGAGTGGTCCGGGGCACCCCTCTGCGGGACATCCACCCCCGAGGCTGAGAAAGCGTGACGGGGGCAGGTGACTGCGGGGACAAGTCAGCGCGGCCACACCCATCCTGCTTTCAGGGAGCGCCCTACGCAGACGACACGCCAGGTCGCAGCCTGACCACACAGCCCCAGGGAGAGGAGGGCAGACCTTGACAAAGGCGACTCCGCGGATGGCTTTCAGGATCAGCATGACGGCCATGGAGAGGGCGTAGACGCTGGCATAGTACTGCATGAGGGGGTTGTCCTTCATGCTGTCGCTCACAGAGGTCCGGTTCCCTCGAGTCACCGTGGTATTCTGTGCAGAGGCAAGGCTCTGTGAGGCCAGACCCCGAGGGCCGGCGGACTGGCAGGAGCTCCTGCTCCCGGCCTTTCTCAGCCCCAGGGGATGACACAGGACAATGACGCAGGGCCTGGTCGGGATAACAAGGCGGGCTTTGCCCCTCCTCTTCTCTTTTCTAATGGATGTGGGCAGGCTGTGGGTTCCCACTCATAAGCCCTCCTGCCCTGTGGGTTGGGCAGGTGTTTTCTGTTTTGAGGCTACAGTAAGGACTCGCCTTTTCCACCCTGGACAGTCCTCACTCACTGCTTCTTTGAAGTGAGCGCGAGAACAGTTTCCCCAAGAACAGCCAGGGACACGTTTCTCTGACGAGTAACCTTACCCCACTTCCTTGCTTGATCCAGTAACTCAGCCACCAGGTGCTGAAGGCAGTGCTGCCCACGTTCAGCATGAAGAGGGCCATGATGACCAGGAACGCCAAGGGGCCCCCAGCAGCCTGGATGTAGACCCCGTACACCGACCAGGGCACGGAGCCCTGCCCCTTCTCCTCCAGCTGCACTAGCTGCCCTGAGGAAGGGAGAAACGTGAACTCAGAGAAGAAGCCACCTGAGAGCAGCAGCATCCAATCCAGCCTCCGGCCGCACGGGCTCTAGGTTAGAGGACTCCCTCTTTCCCGGAAGCTTCCATCTCTCCCTTCTTCTGCCCCTCCCTCCATCCATCCATTCACCCAGCCCACCACGAGCAGGGAGATCAAGACCTGGTCCCTGCCCTGGGACTCTACCACCCTGCCTGGCAGGACAGGGAGAGGGTGAGCAGTTATATGTGCCAGGTAATGCCAGGTCTATGTGCAGGCAGCATGAGAACTTGCAGGTGTACCAAACCCACTTGGGAGAGGTGTGGGTGCTGAGCAGGCAGGTCTCAGGGACTCTGTAGTCTGGAGGGTTCCTCAAAGGCAGCCAGGTTGCTCGGGCAGGGGGAACAGGCAGAGGAGGTGGGTGAGCACAGGCAGAGGTGGGAAGCCAAACAGCCCGTACAGGTGGCCACAGTTGTGCAGCACAGCCGGGCCAGAGTTGCGCTTCAGGAGTGGAAGGGATGAGCAGAGGGGGATCAGCCTCAGGCCGTGGTCAGTGAACACAGGGGTCTGGGCTGTATCTTGCAAACAGGACCTTCTCAGGAGACTGGGTTCCAGGTGTGTGAAGGTTCGAATCCCCGGCCCAGCTCGGCCAGGTGGGCCTAGAATGCCCAGTACCACCTGGCTCTCCCATGCTCCCCAGGGCCGGTACAGTCACTAGCATTTCCCATGTGTGCCCTATCTGGAAAATGGTGAGAAAATCCTGCTCTGAAAACAGGAGGCCACTGAAAGGCCTCAGGCAGGAAAGTGAGCTGGTCTGTTTGTAACGAGCTCTCCCAGCTGTCTGCGCGGAGGACAGGTTTAAAGGCGGCAGCTGCAACGGATGTCAGGTGAGGCCCAAGCCAGGTGAGGCCCAAGCCAGCTTACGGCCACAGGGAGCAGGAGCTAGGTCCAGCAGGACATGGAACCCGGCCAGCTGTGGGGGGGTTGGGGGGAAGAGGAGGCCCCAGGACAGCCCTTGGGCCTCCCGGCAGGCTCGGCTGGTCACCTCTACCGCTTCACCGCCCGAGGCTGTGCCTCTGAACAAGCCACACGAGCCGTGAGCACTAAGCGCTGTGAGTAGCCAGGTCAGAGGTCATGCAGAAGAGAGCAAGTGTGCCCTCATGACAGTCTGACTTACATTGGCGTGGCAGGAAAGAGCAAAAGTGCTGTTTATTTTTTTGGGTGTGTCAGTAAGGTATCTTAAATCACACCTGAATTCAAACTCTCATACTTGTTTTTGTTGAAGAGAAAAAAAGAGACAGGGTCTGCTAAGCCGGCTCCTAACAGTGGATGCCTGCCTGCCTGCCAGACGCCTGCTGCCTGCCGTGGTGTCAAGGACAAGCACATGGACGCAGGCTCAGCCCCAGGGCAGGGGCTGATAGGGCAGACCCTGGATTCACAAGGCCAGGGGAGAAGGGGCCCGAGCTTTAAAACAAGATCATCTTTTTTGTTTGTTTTTGATAACTTGACATGTAGCTTTAAATTCACAAAAAAGTGAAAATACCCACATCATTGCAAATAGCTTCTCTAACTCCCAAGATTTATTTCAGTTAATAGGATTAAAGGGTTTAAGAAACAGAAGCAAGAGCCCTGGGTAGGGAGAGCAGGCCACAGTGACTCTACCCAGAGAAGCCGCGCAGACTAGAGTCCCTGGGGCCTGCCACTCTTTGCCACAGTTCCTGTGTAACGCTGCCGGGACACGGCAAGTGCCCCAGGCCAACACGGGGCTCCCAAGGACACGGCACCCCCAGAGCCAGAACCTCTCTGCAAGGTTCAGGCGAACCGTGAGAGCACAGGTGAGGTGCCGCAGGAAGGGTATGCCTCCACCTGCATTCAGCTTTCTTGACTCAGCATGACTCAGCTCTAATTACCCACCCCGACCCCACCCTGCACTAAACGAGAAGTCACAGGGTTAAAGGTCTTTCCTAATGCCCTGGACTGAGCAAACAGAAGGTGCCTTGTGGTCTGGCAGCACACAGTGTAAGACAGGCACTCTGTAACCCACGGTGCTGTCGGACAGCACGGACCACCGTGTGACGGCATTGCGTGTGCACTCTCACGACAAATCTAAAGACCCAGGAAAGCTCATTACCTTCTTCTGGCTTCACTGCTTTCTCCTTCTTTACGGACCCCGTTTTAGGACCCTTGTCTTGTGATTTCTTCTGTGAACCACTGGTTTCCTTTTTTGAATTAATCTAATAGTATTAGGGGAGAAAAAAAGCCTCCAGTCATGACAGGGTCATCCAGACAAAGAGCAACTAGAGAATTATGCACTGAGCTATTACTGAAAACAAATACATCCCGCTTCTTAAAAGGAACACACAGGGGCCAACAGACACGGGTGGTTACATCATGGACTCCCACACGGCCGACCGTGGTCTGAGGCCTGGACCCGGTGGCTTGAAAATCATGTTGGAGGCATGCATGCATGTGCCCAAGATCCCAGGAGGAGATGGGGAAGTGACTGCGGTGTGGCCATTCCCCCTGGGGAGCTGATTTCTCACGTTTCCTCCCTCTGTCTCTAACTCTCTCTCTCTCTCCGGCACACACACACCCTAAGACAAAAACCTCTGACAACAAAACAAAGCAAAAAGGGCCACGTAAATACATTTCTTAAACTTCCTCAACTCCTTAGGTCTTAGACCTGTTTGCCCAAGGACATCTGCTCTCCCCGAAGTCACCGAACCCCAAATGCGGTGGTCTTTGTTCTGTTGATTATACTCTGAAGGACTCAGGCTGGAATCACCTCCGCCTGCCCTACCTCCGGTCCCCCGTGTTACTGAATCGGGTCCACGGCTCTGACCATTTCCTGCTCCTACCTCAGGGTAAGCCCCAACTTCTCAGCCTGGTTTCGTAGGACCTCCACATTCCGGCCCTGGACCAGTGCTACAAGTTCCTGTCCCCTTTCACTGGTTCCTGTGGCTCCGACTCTGGCCACACTGGGTTTCACACCATTCCTTACATCATACTGCCATTTCCCATTTCTGGACCTTGGTCCACTCGGTTCCTCCACATGGAATCCCCTCCCTGTCCCATCAGTCACGGCTGTCCCCAGTCACATGGGTTCGAATCTTACACCCTGCGTGAGGCCACTCAGACTGCTCTAGAACGAAGCTGCCTTCCCCTGCCCTCCCTGCACGCTGTCAGGATGCTGCTACGGCGGAGGGGACCTGGGTTAGTTACCTTAAGACTGTGAGGCCTGCGAGCACCTCAAGGTCAGAGAGGATGTCTCCCGCGTGGCTGTAATCTACACAGGGCCCACCACCAAGAACTGCCCCGAAGATACACGGGCATTCAATACACATTCGCCACATTGCAGAGAACAGAGACTTACCGCTCTCCTTTCCAATTCGCTCCTGCATCTTTCATAGGAAAGCTCCCTAATATGTTGGGTTGCTGAGAAAATGATGATGCATTTTGCATCGAGAAACAGAAAAACACGTCATCACTTTCCCAACGACCTAATGCTTCACTACGTCTAATTTTAGATCCACTCGGCCTCCTTTCCTCAGCCTGCTTTCCAACTAAACTTTTACACGGACAGTGGAAAAACTGAGAAAAGACAAAATATAGAGCCACATCTGGAAGGCAAGGTAGGGTTCTCAATTTTACATTTTCTTCAATGCACAAATAAAGGCACTGTCTAAAGGGAGGATTATGATCTGTTGCTCACTTCTCAAGGCAAGATTACATACGATCTCATTTAATCAATGCAACTCCTCTAAGATTGTTTTTTTTTTGGGGGGGAGAGGTTTTTGCTATAGGGCGCGTGCACTTGCCAGACAGACAGAGAGAGACAGAGAGACAGAAAGCGAGAAATCATCCCCCAGGGGGGATGGCCACGCCGCAATCCCTTCTCCTCCAATCTCCTCTCGGGATCTTGGGCACGCACGCACACGCGCCTGGTGTGAGTTTAAGCCACCGGGTCTGGGACGCGAACCGCGGGCGACTACGTGGGAATCCAGCAACATAGCCATTACGCTAACTGCTGGTTCCCCTCCTCTAGGAGATTTTAAAAAGCTTATTTCTTGAGAGAGAAAACACGCATCACCAGGGTCCTCATGCTCTGGGTCAGCCCCAGCCTCGGCCAGCCGGGGTCACAGACACACGCTCACATCCCAGTGTGCTCAGGGGGTCAAGAATGTGAATCCAAGACCTTCCCACGTCTGTCTGATTACTGCAGCGCTGACTCCACCCCCATTTTAAGATGGGGAAACCGCCGTTCGGGAAAGAGAAATGACCAGCTGGGCTATCTCCCACAGCAGCCTGGCCGTCGACTCCTGTTCCTGGGACGTTTCATGTTTTAGCTCCTCCGCCTCTCATTTCCCCCCACGTCTACGGGGATGAGGAAATAATCTGAGGAGTCAAGTACCAGGAGAGGCTAGGGAGAGATTCCTAAGAGCTGACCCCGAGTGGGCCTATGGAAGTTACCATGACACCTGGACTGTCTGGCACATCAAAAGGCCTGAGGTCCAGCAGCCCGGAATGGCTGGCGTCCTGTACCTGAAATCAAACTGGTGAAGCCCAGGCTAGATAACGCTCCCAGAAAAGGCCCCTCTGACTTTTTGCTTTCATCCCTCCCGAAGGTCAAAACGACCTGGTAGCCGACAGAGGACATTCTAACCCAGCCAGAGTGCGTGCCTGGAACACCGGGTGAGGCAGCACAACGGCAAGGAGAAAGGGCCGCCACGGCTAGTGCCAAGCCTTCCCTGCACCGGGCCTGCCCTGGAGCCAGAGGGAAGGCGTGGGGAGCGGCCGTGCCAGGAGGCAGGTAGCAACAGAGAGAGGCCCTGGGAGCCAAACCAGCCTTACTAGCACGCTAACTCCACTGAGCTTCAGCCTCCCCACCTGGAAGAGGGGACAATTACGTTACCACCGAGCCCTGTTAGAACGACTAAATAGGAGGGTATCTATGAAGTGCCTAATCCAATCATCAGAACGGTGCCTAACAGGAAGTGCTAACTCCCGATGGGTCATCTTCAGGTGTACGCAGTATTGAATTCTTTCCCTGGCACCTTCTCCACTCGTTTATCTTACAGAAGTGCTTAGTGGTGCTTCGGTCAGGGTTAATGGAGTTTAAGAAGCTAGGCTCTGCCTGACCACCGGGAGCACACCTCCACCCTCACCCAGCATGTCCTTCCTCCTCTGTCCCCACTCAGTAAGTCTCAGTGGCAGGAGGCCTTGGCTCGCCAGCCTGCAGCCCTGCTCTCCCAGGGTAGAATCAGTCCATGAGCAGACAGCGGTCTGGTCACCAGAGAATCGGGCTCCCTGCCAATGACACCGAGTCCAGCAGAGACCGCCCATCACGCGCTATCCAGGCCTCCCCTGCACAGAAAGCAGCAGACACACATGAAGGCCAAACCACCGCTGGTGAGCCAGTCTTACCTCCACTGGGGGCGTCTCTCCCAGCAACAGGTTATTAAAAATGGTGGCATAATCACCATTTAAATTCATCAGCTCCTCATGGGTACCTCTTTCCGTAATGCAGCCCTCTTTCATGAAGATGACCTCGTCACAGTCAACCAGGTACTGCGGACAAAGGCAGGACAGTGCAGTGTGGTTGACGTTTGGGGAAGTACACGCCAACGCCCACCTCTCAGCGCGGTGCTTCTCAGCTGGCTGTGACAATCACAGCGGGTACTAAAGGCACCCGGCGGACAGAGGCCAGGGATGTGCAGGGCAGTGCCCCACGACAGAACTTCCCAGCCCAGAAAGCCAGTGGTGTGAGGTGCGAGCCCTGGCTCCAGGGGGCTGTGCCTGGAGAGGCAGCTCTGAGCGGTTCCTGTTCTGTTCGCGGACCTGCCGAGGGGGCCCCTGAGCCTCACGTTACATCTCACAGCTGTT